GCTGCTGCTGCACCACCATCAGCTGCTGCTGCACCACCGTCAGCTGTACTACTCAAAGATGTGGAGAGACTGTTGTTGGTGTGGCTTAATGAAAAACAATTACCGAAAAACAATTAACCCCAGAGGGTTAGCCACCCAGGATAACCCAAGAAAGTCAGTGCATCATCGAGGACTGTCTAACTTATTTCCATTGGGGTCCTTAATCTTGTCCCCCAGGATGCGACCCACACCAGTCGACTAACACCCAGGTGAACAGGAAAAATGCCTGGAACTAGTACTCATATTGGTGATAAGGCAGGGCGAAGCTGAAAAATTCCAACCCCAACAAGTGTTTAACTGTGACGAAAAAAGGCCTGTTCTGGAAGAAAATGCCAAACAAGACCTACATTACTCAGGAGGAAAAGGCACTCCCAGGACACAAGCCTGCGAAAGACATGCGAACTCTCATATTTTGTTGTAATGCTAGTGGGGATTGCAAAGTGAAGCCTTTACTCATATATCACTCTGAAAATCCCAAATTGTTCAAGAAAAACAGTGTCTCATCAATCATCAACACCCTTCAATAAAGGTAAGTGTCATTTTAGCATTTTTTATGTATTTATTGTGCATGTCTCACTTTTTCTGTTTAGGGAAATATATATTTCATGTAAAAAAAATTGTTTTTTTTTAATACTTTTGGCTGTCTGGAATGGATTAATTGGATTTTCATTATTTCTTATGGGGAAAATCAATTCGGCTAACGATAAAAATCGGTTAAGGACAAGCACTCTGGAACGGATTAAAATTGTTACCCGAGGGTCCACTGTAAATTAAGATTAATAAAAAAAAAAGTCTGAAATATTGCATGTAAACTGTACTGAAATAATGCTTCAAAAAGGACAACAAAAGTATAATTACAGCCTCTCCTCATTTAACGATGGAGCTCTGTTCCTAAGACCCCATCAGTAAATGAATTCGTCAATAAGTGAGGAGCATACTATAATGGTAGTGGGTTTGTGTCAACCATCTTTAATATTATTTTAATGTCACCTTTGCCCCATTTATAACATTTCTGGTATATTTTTAAATGTTTATACAGTACTGTACTGTATATTGAAATAAAGAGAATATAGGAAATCAGCTCTAATATACATTAGGGCCCCACTTATATGGCAGGTTAGGTTCCAGGCTACTGCCGTAAAGCGGAAATCGCCATAAAGTGGAACACCCTTTTTTTTTCCCTTATAAATGCATACAAATACTACATAACAAGTTTACAATAACATACATTAAGTTAGTAATAGAACTAGGCATCAAAAAACAATAAAAAAGTAAAATACACACATAGTGCATTCATTACTTACCTTAAAATATTTGTAGTCTTAATCTAGGGCGAGACAAGTAGTATTTATTGTAAGAAATCAAGTGTGGTGTGTATGGTAGTCAGTCAGGCTCCCATACCACGCCACCCACCTACACATAATAGTATTCTATGATATTTAAGCATCCCAGAGCGATAAAATGCATATACAGTTCACTCATTACTTACCTTAAAATATTTGTAGTCTTAATGTAGGGTCAGGGGTGAGTAAACGAGATAAAACGAATAAATGAGAGAGAGAGAGAATGAGTACATGAGGGAGGACAGGCGCAGAGTTACGTAAATAAACCAGGCGAACGTAAATTTTGTAAACAAACAAAGTGTACACGTCTGGTTTGTGTACAAGTTGTCTCTACATTGATACGGTAGAATAAATAAAGAGGAACACTCCCATTCTCATGTAACACCATTTTTATAAGAAATGATGCTCTGAGTGAAAGCAATGGAAATAAGTCACTCTGTCTGACTTTTTTGGGTTATCCTAGGTACTTTATACATATGCTGTTATGTATGATAATCTATGTAACTGTATTTGTGTATACCTGAATAAACTTACTTTCATACATACAAAAGGAATAATTTTCTACAGTTACCCCCAGTAACACATTTTCTCTTATGTTAGACTAGAGAAAATGTCATTTTTGCCATCACTTGTACAAGTTATCTGGCTACCACATCTCATATTTATGTTTATTTATTCTAGTGTGGGGTGTATTTATCATCTTTATATGTTATGTATCGTGTTTATTATATAATTTTGAAAAAATATCAAAGATGGATTAATGAAAATGTGTATATTAACGTAATATATGACATTTAATGAGACTCGATGATTATTATAATTACTAATATGAAGTCTCGAGATATAAGACACTCTTATTGATTTTAATATGTACCTGCACGCCAGCACAGTAAGTTTATTTAGGTACAGGTATACATAAGTATAATTATCAGAGTAAATATAAAATATGAAATAACTTTTAAAAACACTTGAAATTTTGGAGTTTCCAGACATAATGGAGAGACTTAGTGCTTACGGATCTCACGTAGAATGTAAACAAACCGGGTGGGGCGTGGTGACCGTATTAGAAAGTCAGGTGGGGGGAGCCATACAGCGAGTTTTGGTCATAATTTGAAATGACCGTATTAACGGAACGTCGTAAAGTGAAACGCCGTAAAACGGGGCCTTACTGTACATTATTTAGGCATAAACACTGGTCGGAGAGCCCGTTGCATGTCCGAGGAGTCGGTAAACGAGTATAATGCTAAGTGAGGAGAGGCTGTACTAACCCCTTAACTGTCCAAACGTAGTTCTACATTGTTACCACTAGCATTCCAAGTGTAGGTCAGTGTTTTATTTTTCGTTCCTCCAAATTTGGAATGATTGGCCTGAGATGCCTGTTCAGTATAGAATTGATCTTAATACTCGGTGTGTGCAGTATTAAAAAATCTGAGACCACTTAATACCTTGTGGGAGTACCAGTTCAATTGAGTGCCAGCTAGAGAAAACAACATGGCAAACACCAGGGATTCACTGATGTCATGTAGTATTAACACTCCCCTTTTAACCCTTAAACGGTCCAAACAGATCGACGTTCAAATTCGTAGTGCTACAAAAGTAGATCTACTTTTTTTTACATTTTTCAAATATAACAAAAAAAAAATGTAGATAAAAGTTTTTTTATACGTTTTCAAATGTAAAACAAAAAAAGATCTACATTTTTTTACATACTTTCAGAAGTTGAAAAAACGTATATATACGTTTGGACCATTTAAGGGTTAAGAGGAAAGTGATGGTGACCCTGAGTTTAGGGGCTATGAGATGGATGTGGCCACAAGTGATAGAGGAAATATCAAAAACCTCGATAATAACCCATGTGCAACATTTGTGCAACATCCTTTCAATTTTGATACCACTGGTAGTATCATCCTGCCAGAATGTCCTATAACCTATGCCCTAAGTAAAGAGAAACAATTCTGGACGGTGTGTAATATGTGTTTGGCAGGCTGGCTAGCTGGCCGGATGGCTGTGTGGGTGGATGGCTGATTGATATTGGCTGTCTCTATCTCTATCTCTGTCTCTGTCTATCCCTCTGTCTATCTCTGTCTCTATCTCACAGGAACACAAATATAAATTATACATAGTGTAAATTACCTAGGAGAACCCCAAAAAAAATCAAGACAAAGTGCTATACTGAGCTTGTAGATTTAAGGCATAATAAGCACGACTGGCAAGTAATATGCATTTTCACTTGTTCAGGAATCACACGTGACAATCTCAATCATGTGTAATATCTGTTGGTTCATGAGCGGCTCTCTCTCCGAGACAGAAAGAAAAGCAGAGAGACAGAAGACAGATAAGCAAAGACAGAGCTAGACAGACAGACACAGACAGATAGACAGACAAGCAGTAGACAGACAAACAGATAGACATGTTTATGTGTTACAGTGAAGACCAATAGAGCCAAGGCAATGCACAATCATCAAGTGTCACTCCACTGCTGCACTGTCAGCAGTGAAGTGACGTCTTACACCATCCTTCAGGGAGTTTCATATATACTGCAGCATGTCTAAAACATTCCTGAAACCTATAAATACTATGTATATATTTCTAGACAATAGTATTTGACCAAGGCAGGTGAAAATGTTCACCTGTCAGTGTACTCACCGAGTTGTACCCACCTAGCTGTGGTTGCTGGGGTCGATTCATAGCTCCTGGTACCGCCTCTTCACTAGCTGCTACTGGGGTCACTCTTCCTGCACCGTGAGCTTTATCATACCTCTGCTTAAAGCTTTGAATGGATCCTGCCTGCACTATATCGCTTCCCAAACTATTTCACTTCCTGACCACTCTGTGACTGAAGAAATACTTCCAAACATCCCTGTGATTCATCTGTGTCTTCAACTTCCAACTGTGTCCCCTTCTTGCTGTGTCCTATCTCTGGAACATTCTGTCTGTCCACCTTGTCAATTCCTCTCAGTATTTTATATATCGTTATCATGTGTCCCGTATCGCTCCTGTCCTCCATGAGTACTATTTCAGTGCCTAATATCAGTGTCAGTACAAAGACTGGCTATATTCTGACACTAAAAATAAATTAAAAAACAAGAATAAAAGGTATATCAGTAACACTTCCGCAAGCAGCAGGACTCCATGTTGCCATTAGGTGAGCATCCAGCTCCAACTTCAAGGCCTTATATCTCAATAAGTACTGACCCTAAAAAAAATTTTTTTGTCTTATTACACACAGAAAATTGTCCTCTTTAATTAAAAAAAAAATTCAAAATATTTATAGCACTGGGTGAGAGAACGTAGATCTATGTTTGGACAGTTAAGGGGTTAGGTTATAAGCGTGAATGGACACAAAGTGAAATAATGACTCAACATAGTTAGTCCTACAAGTACTGAATACATTAGATAACTTCTCAGTGAAATTTATTACCACACCTGTGTAAGGATAGTACCACTTTTGGCATCCTGGTTGAGAAAGTCCTCCATTAGCATAAAAATCAATGTGACCTGGAGGAGAATGTGATCCAATGAAAGAAGTTCGAAGATTAACCACGAGAGCCGCATCACCAGCATCTAAAAACTCTTCCTTGGTTTTAGGTGGAAGCCAAGGATAAGATGCATCCAAACCTGAAAAAAAACACTGTATAGTGAATTGATAAATGCTGCAATGACATCTACAACCATAGATATGTAAATATGCATATGAAAATAAAGAAATATTTTCATATTTGTCCAAGTGATGTCTTTCTAATAGAGTACAATCACTCCCTGAGGCTCCAGTGTCATAAATTAATTTTAATGCCATTAGGATGGCAAACAATTCAGTTTGCAGTGTAGATGCCCAGTTGTTAATTCGTATGCCTTGCTCAACAAAATTTCCATGGTTCTTAACTAGGGAGGTGGCAACAAGAGCAGATGCAGCTCTGCCAGTAGACTCCTGCTTACATCTATCACCGTATATAACTTGGTATAAATTATTACTAACAGTTAAGAGAGAAATTTCTTCTTAAGCAGCTGCCTTTGCAAGTGATTTAAGGAAGGGATTAACAGTGATGAGCTTTTTGGGTGGGGCTTGCAAACATGTGATATCAAATGAACACTTTTTTCATGGTGGCGTGAAATGCTCTTGTTGTCTACAGTGATAAAGTTCATAAAAGTTATATCACTTAATATAATTGCATGTTTTCACAACCCATTTAAATCTACAGGTATTTACTTCTAGACATTTAGTAAGATTCGTAGTGACAGTGTCTGGTTCATTTCTTAACATTCTAATACCAAGTACAGTGTTAATCTCAATAATCATATCACTGATAATACAACTAATATGAGGAAAGAACTCATATGACTGAGGTATTAATCAAGGATTGTTTTTTTAATACTGGCCATCTCCCACTGAGGCAGAGTGATCCAAACAAAGAAGAAATGCTTTCATAGTTTTTCTTCTTTTCACAATTAATTGTTTATACAGGAGAAGGGGATACTAGCCCCGTGTTCCCATTTTAAGTCATCTCTTATCACATGAATGGCTTACGGAGGAAGAACTCTTCTCTACTTCCACTTGGAGTCTCATAATATTTATTATACAGCCTCTCCTCATTTACCGAAGCCTCAGACTTACGACGGGCTCTCTGACCAGTATGCATATCTAAGTAATGTATATAAGAGCTCATTTCCTTTATTCTGTTTATTACAATATATAATACAGTTATGGCAGGAGAAGAGGGAATATAAATGAATAAATTCAAGGATTATGTAGAGTAAAATAAGGGTTGGATGTGAAAAGTGGGTTATAGCAAGTATTTATGCACCTGGGGAAGAGAGAAGTGTGGAAAAGAGAGATTTTGGGAAATACTGAGTGAGTTTATGGGGAGTTTTGAACCATGTGAGAGATTGAGAGTACTTGTGGTTGAGGATCTTAATGCTAAAGTGGGTAAAAATATTGTGGATGGAGTAGTAGGTAAATTTGGGGTGCCAAGGGTAAATGAAAATGGGGAGCCTTTAATTGAACTATGTGTAGAAAGAGGTTTGGTAATAAGTAATACATATTTTATGAAAAAGAGGATAAATAAGTAAAACAAGGTATGCTATAGCACGTAATGAAAGTAGTTTGTTAGATTATGTATTGGTGGATAAAAGGTTGATGGGTAGGCTTCAGGATGTACATGTTTATAGAGGGGCAACGGATATATCGGATCATTATTTAGTTGAAGCTACAGTTAGAATAAGAGGTAGATGGGACAAACGAAATATGGCAACAGCAAATAGGATAGAGAGGTTAAAGTGTATAAACTAAGGGAGAAGGAAGTTAGGGTGAGATATAGGCAACTATTGGCAGAAAGGTAGGCTAGTGCAAGTATGGATAGTGGGGATAGGGTTGTTGGAGAGGGTTGGGATAGTTTTAAAAATCCAGTATTAGAATGTGAGGCAGAAGTTTGTGGCTATAGGAAGGTGGGTGCAGGAGGAAAGAGGAGTGATTGGTGGAATGATGAGGTAAAGGATGTGATAAAAGAGAAAAGAGTAGCTTATGAGAGGTTTTCACAAAGCAGAAGTGATATAAGAAGGGCAGAGTATATGGAGACTAAAAGAAAGGTGAGAGTGGTGAGAGAATTCAAAAGGAGAGCAAATGCAAAAGGAGAGGCATTGTCAAAACATTTTGCTGAAAAATAAGAAAAAATTTTGGAGTGAGATAAATAAGTTAAGAAAGCCTAGGGAATGCATGGATTTGTCAGTTAAAAACAGAATAGGGGAGTTAGTTGATGAGGAACTGGAGATATTGGGTAGATGGTGGGAATATTTTGAGGAACTTTAAAATGCCGATGAAGAAAGATAGGCAGTAATTTCGTGCACTGGCCAGGGATGTATAAAATCTTTTAGGAGTGAAAAAGAGCAGGATGTGAGTGTGGGGGAGGTGCGCGAGGCATTACATAGAATGAAAGGGGGTAAAGCAGTGGGACCACATGGGATCATGACAGAAATGTTAAAAGCAGGGAAGGGGGGATATAGTGCTGGAGTGGGTGGTGTTTTCATTTAATAAATGTATGAAAGGGAAGGTACCTAGGAATTGGCAGAGAGCGTGCATAGTTCCTTTATATAAAGGGAAGGGGCACAAAACAGACTGTAAAAATTATAGGGGAATAAGTTTACTGAGTATACCAAGTAAAGTGTATGGTTGGGTTATTATTGAAAGAAATTAGAGGTAATACACAAAGTAGGACTGCAGATGAGCAAGGAGGCTTTAGAGTGGGTAAGGGATGTATAGATCAAGTGTTATCATTGAAGCATATATTTTTTTATTATTATCACACCGGCCGATTCCCACCAAGGCAGGGTGGCCCGAAAAAGAAAAACTTTCACCATCATTCACTCCATCACTGTCTTGCCAGAAGGGTGCTTTACACTACAGTTTTTAAACTGCAACATTAACACCCCTCCTTCAGAGTGCAGGCACTGTACTTCCCATCTCCAGGACTCAAGTCCGGCCTGCCGGTTTCCCTGAATCCCTTCATAAATGTTACTTTGCTCACACTCCAACAGCACGTCAAGTATTAAAAACCATTTGTCTCCATTCACTCCTATCAAACACGCTCACGCATGCCTGCTGGAAGCATATATGTGAACAGTATTTGGATTAAGGTAGGGAAATTTTCATTACATTTTTGGATTTAGAAAAGGCATATGATAGAGTGGATAGGGGAGCAATGTGGCAGATGTTGCAAGTGTATGGAATAGGTAGTAAGCTACTAAATGATGTAAAGCGTTTTTATGAGGATAGTGAGGCTCAGGTTAGGGTGTGTAGGAAAGAGGGAGATTACTTCCCAGTAAAAGTAGGTCTTAGACAGGGATGTATAATGTCACCATGGTTGTTTAATATATTTATAGATGGGGTTGTAAAAGAAGTAAATACTAGGGTGTTCAGCAAGGGGTGGGATTAAATTATGGGGAATCAAATACAAAATGTAAGTTGACACAGTTACTTTTTGCTGATGATACTGTGATTTTTGGGAGATTCTAAAGAAAAGTTGCGAAGGTTAGTGGATGAGTTTTGGAGGGTGTGTCAAGGTAGAAAGTTGAAAGTGAACATAGATAAGAGTAAGGGGATGAGGATATCAAATGATTTAGAAAAAGAAAAATTGGATGTCACATTGGAGAGAGGGAGTATGGAAGAAGTGAATGTTTTCAGATATTTGGGAGTTGACATGTCAGCACATGGGTTTATGAAAGATGAGGTTAACCATAGAATTGATGAAGGAAAAAAGGTGAATGGTACATTGAGGTATCTGTGGAGACAAAAAACATTATCCATGGAGGAAAAGAAGGGAATGTACAAAAGTATAGTGGTAGCAACACTCTTATATGGGCGTGAAGCTTGAGTTGTAAATGCTGCGGCGAGGAGGCGGCTGAAGGCAGTGGAGATGTCATGTCTAAGGGCAATGTGTAGTGTAAATATTATACAGAGAATTCGGAGTGTGGAAATTAGGAGGAGGTGTGGAGTTACTAAAAGTATTAGTCAGAGGTTTGAAGAGGGGTTGTTGAGGTGGTTTGGTCATTTAGAAAGAATGGAAAGTGTATAAATCTGTAGGGAAAGGAAGGGAGAGTAGGGGTTGTCCTCAAAAAGGTTGGAGGGAGGGAGTAAAGGAGGTTTTGTGGGCAAGGGGCTTGGACTTCCAGGAAGCATGCATGAATGTGTTGGATAGGAGTGAATGGAAGCAAATGGTTTTTGGGACCTAACAAGCTGTTGGAGTGTGAGCAGGTTAATATTTTTTGAAGGGATTCAGGGAAACCGGTTAGCCAGACTCGAGTCCTGGAAATGGGAAGTACAATGCCTGTACTTTAAAGGAGGGGTTTGGGATACTGGCAGTTTGGAGGGACTTCTAAATTGTCATATCTGAGTGCCTCTGTGAAGACAGTGATTATGTATGAGTGATGGTGAAAGTGTTGAATGATGATGAAAATATTTCTCTTTCTTTTTGGGTTTTTCTTTCTTTTTAGGTCACCCTGCCTCGGTGGGAAACGGCCAATGAGTTCAAAAAGAAAAAAATACAGTACACTATTGTATAAAAACTTAAAAAAATACCAGAAATGTTACAAATGGTACAAAGGTGACATTAAAACAATATCAAAGATGGCTGACACAAAACCACTACCATTATAGTATACTCCTCACTTAGTGACATAAGAACATAAGAACATAAGAAAGAAGGAACACTGTAACAGGCCTACTGACCCATGCAGAGCAGGTCCATGTCCCCCCCCGGATTAGACCAATGACCAACCCCCCGGATTATCCCAATGACCCACCCAGTCTGGTCATCCCCACTCAAGGATGGAGCACTGTACCAGACCCAGCAGCACAAGCTAGTCAGGTCCAACTCACACCCACCCACACCCACTCATGTATTTATCTAACCTATTTTTAAAACTACACAACGTTTTAGCCTCAATAACTGTACTCGGGAGTTTGTTCCACTCACCCACAACTCTATTACCAAACCAGTGCTTTCCTATATCCTTCCTGAATCTGAATTTTTCCAACTTGAAACCATTGCTGCGAGTCCTGTCTTGGCTGGAAATTTTCAGCACACTATTTACATCCCAATAGGTAGTAGGTTGGTAGACAGCAACCA